CCTCCCTCCCTCCCTCCCTCCCTCCCTCCCTCCCTCCCTCCTCCAGGCAAGCCTTATTCTGATAACTGGACAGCCGAGTGGAAGTACCTCTACTCTCTGCAGCGGAACTACCCAAATACGGGGCAATTCACCTTCCTGCCGGCTCCCTCGGCTCGGTTTGGAGGCTGGGAAATGGGTGCCCTGAGGATTTCTGGCAACGGCTCCTCCGAAGGCCAGCTGTGAGTATCTATCCCGGTGGCCCCTGCAGGGCAGAAGCCACGCCAGGTGACCCCGACCGACCGGCCAGTGTGGGGAAAGTGGGAGGGCGGCTACAGCGGGCTGCTTGCAACCGGCCCCAACCGCCCCCCTTTCTCTCTCTCCCACCCAGCCGGCCTCTCCCAGTTCTTCCTGGTGAAGCTGCGGCTAGATTAGATTAACAGAAGGGACCCTACGGGTCATCTAGTCCAACCCCCTGCTCGAGCAGGAGAGCGTCTTCCAAATATCAGGCTCTCCCTAGGATCGAACTCACAGGTTGGGGGGGCGAGGGCCCAGGGCCCCCCCACTGGACCCCTGAGAGGCGAGGGGAGCCCCCTGCTGTCCTTCAGCCCCAAACCGTCCAACGGGCTCTTCCTTGGGAGGGAGGGGCTGCCCCCCTCGCCCACCGGGAGCCCTGCCGTTTCACCCCCCCCCCCCCCGCTTCTGCCCCACCTCAGAGACGTGGCTGCCATCTGGAGCACGGAGCACGCCATGGCCTGGCACCTGGAGGAGGCCTTCCGGAGGGACCCGGCCGGCTGGGCTGCAGCCAAGTGCCAGCAGTGGGACAGCCAGGAGGCCGGGCTGCCCTCCTTTCTGGAGGAGATCCCCGACTGTCCCTGCACTTTGAGCCAAGCCCGGGCCGACTTCGGCCGCTTCCACGTAAGTCCCCGCTGGGGCGGCTCCAGGCAGGCCCGTTCCAGGCTGGCTCAGGAGGGGCTGCCCGAAAGGCGAGGAAGGGCTGCCTTCCAAGGGCTGCGGCCCAACACAGGCATTCGATGGGAGGGTGATGGAGGGGGAGGGAGGGGAGGCCTCCTAACGGGTGGGGCATCCTGGCCAGAGCAGAGGTGGAGAAGGCCCTGCAAGGGGTCCCCTTCGGGCTGGAGAGGGGGGGAAAGGGGCCCCTCCCAGCTGGGAATGAGGCTCTCCTGCCCCTCGAGGGACGTTAGGCAGCGGCAGGACGGGCCCCGGCTGGTGAGGTCGTCTCCTCCTCCTCCTCCTCCTCCCT